TCTTTCCATTACAGTATTGGTTCTCTACGATGTTGACAAAGCCGCAGAGAATGTACAGCACCTAATAAAATGGATCATGGACTCTTATTCTGATTCTTGTAGACTAATACTTTGCTGTGAAGATGACGTAGATATCCTTGAATCAGTGAAAAGCCGCTGCAAAGTTATCAACGTTGAAGCTCCTATAACTCACGAAGTAAGTATTCCTGAATAATCCTTCATAATCTTTTGCACTTCAAAAAGAGAAGAAAGAAAAAGGTACACCACGAATCAGGTTTCTCTATTTAGGATACCCTTATTCAAATCTGCAGTATATTTACAGTTTGATATTATATTTTAACCCATGTATTTTTAGGTTTATCAAAAAGGCCAAAAAAAAAAAAAAAAAAATTGAAATAGATGCATGTATTTTTTACAGCTACCTGTTATGAGCCCATATTCCAGAGAAAAAAGGATTGTCTTTCTTTCTTTGTCCATCCTTATGTGGTTTGTATGAGGTCAGCATTTACCTGGAAAACCCAGATGCCCATTTTTGAACCGACTCATAAAAGCTTTGATGGTAGAGAAGGAACAAATTTATTTATTTGAATATAATTTACAACACATCCCCTCACATGCAGACTGAATTATTTTTTCATTAAAGGCTTGACGCCTTCACAATTTTTACAAATAGTGGCAGTAAGAATTGAATACAAGACCTATCACTGGTCTAAAATTATATCGAACCAACTCATTTAAAAGTTTAAGATGTCGGAGAAGGGAAACATATGTTTATTTGAATATAGTCTTGAACACTAATTTTTACCACTCATGGTTTTCTGTATGTTCAGATAGGTCCTGCAACTAAATTTAGATCTTTTCTGAGGTTTTTAGGGGCGATGTAGCATTTCTCTGTGTCTCTGGGAATGTTTAAACGCAAGAATTGAGTCATAGGACAATGTTAGCAGTGATTCTACAGAAGGTTTTGATTAGCTGAAAAGAAAGTGGTTACCTTTTAGTCACATATGAATTCATTTGTTGGATGCTTACTGTGATATTCGTACTACGAATAATATTAACAGACAAGTTAGAAGCTTGCAGTGTTGCTAAGGTAACACTGAATAGCGTATAAATGGTATGTCTGTCACTATATAATCACATTGAGAAAACACAATATTACGTGTTTCATGTACATTGTTATTGGATTATAAACAAAAGCTAATGCACCAATCAAAGTTCAAGTTCATTTAAGGAAAGATTCTTGTTCTGTATAAGTTAACGAGTATTATGTATATGAATTGATGCTTAATATATTAATGACTTTCATGGGTTCAGCATCAAACAGTAATTTCCTTTATCTTGCATCCTGAAAATGGCAAAATCTAGAAAGTGACTTATTAGTCAGGGAAAATGTTACGCATCCAATAGAAAGGGCGCGCGCGCACTCACACACACATAAAACTTCAACCCCAGCTATGATCAGGCAGGTCATTAATGGTTTTTTTCAAGGACCAGCAGCTGTGCCAAGTTACCTTTTTCACTAAATCTTTATTGCAAGCATAAACACAATCATTTATAGTGTTAGCCTTGACGTCTTTATTAGCATATTTGATTAAGTTCTCTAATTGTTTTTTCATTATATTGCTTAGATTATGGAAGTTCTTATTCAGATAGCAAAAAAGGAAGGATTTGAATTATCCGTGAACTTTGCTGCTAAAATTGCAACAAAATCAAAGCAAAACCTGAGGGGAGCGATAATGGCTCTTGAAGCCTGCAAATCACACAAGTAAGATCATTAATAAGAAGTGCATTAGGTTTATCAGTTTTTCAACTCATTTTAGCATTACACCATTTCAGTTATCCTTTCTCCGAGGACCAACCAATTCCAATAGGATGGGAAGAGGCTCTAGTTGAACTTACTGCAGATATTCTAGCTGATCCATTGCCTAACAAGTAAGACCTTTTAATATTTTCTTTTAACTTTGTGTCTGCGTCTGCGTCTGTGACATGTACTGATTGGTTAAAAGAATTACTGATCATTACTGAACTTTTACCAAAATTTCATGTTGATCACTAAACTATATTTTGTCCCAAGTTGTTTTACTTAACTTTTACTTGGTTGCAATTGAGTCACTGAACTGTTCGTAGCAATTTGGTCGATCACTCCATATGTATTAATATGATTAATGGAAAAACTTTCTTGAATCTTTGGTGTGCCGGTGGCAAATAAGCGGATTGCCATATCATCTTAATCAAACTAAAATACGTAGACGGAGTGACCAAAGTGTAACATAGTTTAAGTTAGTGACAACCTTGAAATAAAGTTTAGGTACCAACATAAAATTTTGGTAAAAGTGTTGCTGTATTTTAATTGGATTTTTCAATCATAAAAATATAATTGGAAGTTGAATGATTATTTGCTTCCAATTTACAGTTCAATTTTAGAACTGCAGTCCTATTTTCTGGACCAAAATTGATGGAATGATTGTGGTCCCTATTATCAAAAAATTATCAACTTACCGCAGTAGATGCAGTATGTGAAATATATTGTATCCTCTTGTCGTCAACTTGATTTTACTTGTGAGAAACACTGATCTTAATGGTCAATGTGCATGCTCTAACCAGATTATTTGTCATTCGTGGAAAGATCCAAAAACTTCTATCTGAGTTCGTTCACCCGAAACTGATTCTTCTGGTAATGTATCTAACGGATTTTTCAGTATTCTAAATCAGATTAAATGTACAAATTATTTGTTATATAGTTATGTTTCTAACGTGCAGAAGCTTGTTGAACAATTTCTTCGTGGAATGGAGGCTAATTCGAAGAGGGAACTTTATTATTGGCATGCTTACTATGTAAGTTTCATCATTCACCTCAACAATGGGTAGACGAAAAAAAACTACAATTTATTTTAGAGAGAGGGTGTGAGTGAGGGTGACTGATTCAAATGTCATTTGCAGGATAAGAGACTCCCCATTGGAACAGGTGCCTTGTTAAAATTAGAAGGTACTTACAAACCACTTTGAAAAGCTAGATTATTTACATTCAAGATAATTGTGCAAACCCATAGTATGTATGCATTGTGCTCATAACCGACCAATGGCAAGTGCTTTTCATTGTGTGGATCCTATTTTAGTGGACACAATGAACTGATGCATCAACATGTCTTGCTTTTAATTTTACGTCGGGAGTTACTCTTATTTCCAGCCTGACAAAAAACAGAGGACTTGTTTCTGTTTTTTGTTAAATCTTTTTCATGGCTCCATTAATAACGTGATAAGTGAATGATCTTACAGGGCCATCACCTTCTTTGGCCTGATCTTTTCCATGTTTCAGAATAGAGTTAACCAACATTTTAAGTAATGGACTAGTTATCAGTTTTTATTGCACGTAACTAAGTCTTACCACAGCATTTGGAAAGTTTAATAAAAATGTTGAACTAGATTGGTTTAGAAATATTGTGTCAGACTTCTAACAGGTAACCATACGAGGGATTGTAATAGCATAATTAAAAGTGCAAAGCGTTAAATGTGTAACGAAGATATTTAAAAGGGAAGTCTTAAACATATTAATCAGATTTAAATTCAGAACAAAAAAGAAACTCGACTCGACTAATTCAGCATCTACACCCATTAGTGCCATTCACGTAGTGCATGTTTGGCTAAGCTTTAAAACTTAATCTGTAACTAAAGAAGTTTTAGAATAAATATTTTCTTTTTGGTCGTCCGAAAGTAACCCCCACCTACTATTTTTACTTGCAAGAAGAAAGTAAACAATCAAAACATGTTTTGAAACAAAAATTTACTCTCAAGTAAGTTCGACTTACTTTTAAGCTGCCAAACATAAGGAATTCCTGGTGTAACTGCCATATTCGAGACCGAGGTCGAGCCTCAAAATATAAAAATTTCAGATGCTGAATTTTTGGTTGCTGTTGCAATGAACCTATCTTTAATAAGAGGCCTGATTTTGTTATTCTTTCGTTAGTTTTCTAACTGAAATCGAATGCACCAGCACCACAAAGGCTTATTATTAGGACGCATTTGGTACACATCATTGTAGAGTACAGTTATACTCGCAAAATTTTAATTTCTTTTTCTCTCCAATTACAGTCTACTTCAGTAAACCAAATATCATCCTATTAGGGAATTAATTATTTATTATAGGGAATTTACTTGTACTCTGGTTTACTAATGTTATCTAATGGTGCAGAATTTGTGGCCAAGTTTATTAGCATATACAGAAAGAACTCCAGGAATCGTTAGTTCTTGTAATCTACATGGGGCGGGAGGAACATTGATCGAGCTTCGAAATTTGTTTATCTTTATGACAATTTATGCATGTTGTTCAATGACTAAGAATCAGACGATTTTGGAGAGAATGCATGAGATAGTAACTGTCTTGTTATTAAGATTTGAATTGAACGTTGTATGCTTGAAATACTGAATAGGGGTATGGAAATTCTTGTACTCTTAAAAAAATTATCTTAATCTGCTGATGCTCTTTCGAAGTGCCCTATATAAAGTTGAATCTTAGATTCAGTGAACCATGTGTCTTGATTGCGTGATGGTTAAATGTAGTGTAACTACTCCAAAGTCTAGTGAATGCATAGAATAGTCAAATATTTTTATATACATTTCATTGCACAAATAAATATATATGTAATGGAGATTGTTCTCACGTATAAATAGAAGTCATCCAACACACTGAAAATGCAAAATGAAACACTTTCATTTCAGCACCACGTCCAAATTATTTAAAGTGCACAACGAAAATTAAACGAGTTTCAATACTTAAAAGTCAGATTGTCTTTGTGTTTAGATAGAATTTGTGATAGGAGGCTATAAGATATGACAATTTTGTACCTGATCTACTACAATCTTAGGATTCTACGGTTGTGTGGGCTCTAATAAAATTCCTCAAGATGAGAACAAATCAGAACTCCGACCAACGCCATGGTGGACGGACAACAATAGCTTTTGGAGAGTATTATGTTTTAGGTTTTTGCATGATGCAACGATAAGAGTTTACTTTTCAAAAACCACGACGCACGACCACATCTACAGACAACAACACAGCACAAACAGATGCACCACAAACAATTTTAGAAAACACAAGACTCGAACTATCCACTAGTCACTATGCCACCTCCTCCTCCACTTTCAAACACACCTCAAAAATCCACCACCACCTCTACAATAAAACAGGCGAGAAGACCCAAATCATCGCTGCCACCTCCTATTCCAAAGTCAAATCACCACCACCACCACCACCACCACCACCACCTAAAATCGTCTCTCGTACCAAATGTAAATCAGCATAACCCCACCCACAGAGCTACCATTGATACCAATCAAATGTCGTGCCACCTCACCCCGTCGCCGCCAGCAGCACCATTACTGCCAACACCACCAAAATCTCTGCCGATGCGTGCACAATCGGAAGCGGCGGAAGTGGTGAGAATGGTTGCACGGCCCGTTGACCTCCGGCTAACCTATCATTTTGGGGCGGGTTAAGATCGGAAGCAGGGACCTGGGCCAGAGGCGGCGGGCGGTTGATAATCTGAGCCAAGGGCGGAGGGACTCGGCTGGCTTATCGGTGAGTAGGGAGCCAGTGAGCTTCGAGAGAGAGAGAGAGAGAGAGAGAGAAGATAGGGTTAGAAATGATATTTGGGTTGAATATTTGGATTAAATTTTAATTTTATAATATTATTATTAATAAAAGATGAATTAACCCCTGATTTATGAAAAGAAAAGTTTTAGGATTTAATATTTGAAATGTATACTTAAAATGCAGGCTTTTGGGTAATTTTCCCTTACTCCAACAATCTGCCACTTGGACTATGTCCAATATCATTCCAAATTTCCAAACCTCACTTTTAGTGTGTGACCCGTTATGTTCTCATTCACACTGACAAACTCCAAATACTATCATTATGATATGAACAGAGTAAGACAAATTAAAATTTCGTTTTTAATTCATCATTAATTCACCAATATTACTTAATTCACATCATCGTCCAAGATTGACATTTAGAAATTTGACAAGGCAATTCATGTGATGGAAAATATCATTTGATATGGCAAAACAATTTTGCTAGGTTATCATGAAATATAATCATCTCATTAATATTCCCTAATTGATTACAAGGTATGAGTAAGGGTTAATCTCGATTTAATCGATCATATTATTCACCATGACTTTTTGTTGATCCAAACGAGTTATACTTTATAACCCTTTAAAATTTTAACTTCTTCTTGACCAAGTTATTTGTCTATCAACTTATCTACATGAAAAACAATTTATAATTTCTTACTATCCAAGAGTGATGAGTCTCGTATTGATCGTACACTAGTATTTATATTATTCTCAACACACTCATGTAATGCTATATTAGTAACATTCAGTGTTACCTAGGTGTAACATTCAGTGTTACCTAAGTGTAATGGTCCTCGTATAAGATTGTACAAGTCCTTAAGTCAAAAGATCAAATTCACTATCTAACCCTCAATAGTTTTCCACTAACACCAGGGTACATGTCCATGTGAAATCTCCATGTTAGGTTATCCAATGAATTATTCTTCTAACAATTCTTATACGTATCCATTTAAGCCACATTTTTCCCAAAAAAGGCATTTTGGAATAGTATTTTGATGGAGAACGCGTGGTTAAAAAAGAATTTTTTTTTGAGTTTGAATGTAATATTATTTTATTAAAA